CATGGGAAGTACAGGTTTAGGGGATAGAAAATTAGCTCAATATCAAAACTATAGAAGCCACTAGAAAGTCCCGCCATGAAAGAAAAACAAAAGTATGTGTGTGGCCAATGGCTCTGAGCCACCGATACTGTAATTTGCTCCTGTTATTGAACAGGGAAAGTGGCCAAGTTGATGGTCGATAATAGTTGGGGAGCTCAGAGGCCATGAGGCTGCAAGGTAGTTTTTCAGTCTGCTATATGAGCTGGCGGTGCAGCTGCTTCTCACTGCATTTACAGTGTGACTGCTGCACTCTGATACCATTTGTGTATTGTGTGCAGTGCTTCAGTTTAGCAAGTTGTTTATTTGTTTGGCTGTTTTTTCAAGATTTTGTGCATGTGTAAGCATTCCTGCCATGTGTTAAGTGAGAACCGTGAGACGCTTCATATCTGACTGCACTACTGTTTCTCCACCCCCAGCTTTTTAACTCTCTTCGCAAATAATTTAGGAAGTGAAGGCTAAGTCAGAGATACTGTGTCCTTTGAAATACTAGTGCACAAAACTCAAACTTTTAATATAGTATGATTCATATGTGATTGTAATTTATTTTAGGCACAGTTGGGCTTTATAATTCTCTGGTGCAGACTTCAAAAAAATGCCTTTGTTGGCCGTACGGTACATAAGTAAATGTTCTGCTTCACTGCATTGAGCGAATTCAATAATTCAGACGAAGCAAACTTTACATTTTTCAAAGTTTATAAGGCTGAACAAACTTGTTTTACCAAACTCTTTAAGGAGCCATTTGGTTTATTGTGTTGTAACAGAGGCATTAGGCACTGGGTACTGAAATTATATGAAAGAACACATATACACTATTGTTCAAAATGTTGGGGTTTTAATGTATTTTATTTAATGGAAAGAAATCTCTTTTGCTCACCAAGGCTGAATTTATCTGATCAAAAATAGAGTAAAACAGTAATATTGGTAATATTATTGCTGTTGATTATACAGTAAATATTTTTTGCCATTTTAAAATAGTTTTCTATTTTAATATATTTTAAAATGCAATTTATTTCTGTGATTTCAAAGCTGAATTTTCAGCAGCCAGTGTCCCATGATCCTTCAGAAATCATATTATGCTGAACTGGTGCTCAAGAAACAGTTCTTAATGTTGAAAACAGTATTATTTGATAAAGTTAAAAAAACAGCATTTGTTTGGAATCTGAAACAGAAATCTTTTGTAACATTCTAAATGTCTTCACTGTCATTTTTGATTAATTTGCTGCATACTTGCTGAATAAAAGCATTAATTTCTCTCTCTCTCTCTCTCTCTCTCTCTCTCTCTCTCTCAAAAAAAAAAAAGTACTCTCCCCAAACTTTTGAACGTCAGTGTAAAAAATTAAAAATATAAATACAATGACCTGAAGTATCTATGTCATATTGTGAGAAAAAGAACTAGGGCACAACTAGGTTTTTTTTTTTTTTTTAGATTTAGTTCAGGTGACATATGAAGGTGGTTCTGATCTCACATTTCATCCCATCAGGCTGTGTTGATGTGCTTTAAGGTGCCAAACCAGGGTGATGTTCAATTTTTAAGCCTTTTTGAGGATGCCCTATTATTGTGGTCTTTGTGATTATGTAATCTCATCTTGTACATGAATGTGTGCGTACCCTTTTTCTTTCAGTCAAGGTGACTGCATCCCTCAGCCCCCTGGTGTTTTTCTACCCTATTTCGCCTTTAAATAATTTATCATTTCCTATGTGATGAGAGGAGAAGCTGCAAGTTGTTCCTTTGTGAAATATACATCATAGTCTCTTAATTGGATTATAATCATACATTAAATGATATCAGAATTATTGAGACTCTGTTACAGTGCTTGTCAGTATGTAAAAATAATGTTTGAATCCAGACACTGCTGTGGTTTCAGGATATGCATTGTGATGCGTAGTTCATGATGAAGGATGGTGTATGTGTGGTCTGTAGGAGGAGAGCAGGCTGCTTTGTCATAATCTCCTTAGAGACAGATACTGATAGAAATCTGTGCGCACACACCTTCTCCTGTAGTGAAGGTGTGATAGAAAGAAAAAGAGAAGGACTGAGAAATGAAAAATCTGCTTATCTTTGTCTAACTATCTGTTAAACATTGTATCTAACTATGTCTATCCATCTGTCTAACTTTTCAACGTTCTCCTTCTGTCTTTCTGTTGGTCTGTCTATCTGTTTGTTTGGTCGATCTGTCTGCCTGTCTAACTATCTAACTATTTGTCTGAAAATCTGTCTTTCTGTTTGAAAACTTATCTGTCTGTCTGTCTACCTGACTACCTGTCTGTTTAACTGTCTATACCTGTCTGTTTAATTGTCTGTCTTTATGTCTAACTCTCTGTCTGCCTAACAAACTCTTTCTAACTTTTAATATGTAACTATCTGCATGTCTGACATTCTCGCTGACTATTGTATCAACTATTTTATCAATTATCTTTCTGCCTGACAGCCTAACTATCAAACTGCCTGTCTGTTTAACAGTGTAACTATCTATCGGTCTGTCTGTCTAACTGTCTCTTGGTCTGTCTAGCTATCTAACCATCTACTATATCTGTGTTGATCAAACTATCTATATATGCCGGTATCAAATTTTGCTTAAAATGCATTCAAAATTCTGAATAATTTGTAATATATAATTATTCACGGTATTTAGAAGTGCCCACATATTGTGCATATTCATTACCGTGATATATCGCATTACCGAATACCGGCACAAGTCTACTATCTATCTAACTCCTCAACTATCGGTCTGTCCGTCCGTCTGTCCAACTGTCTGCCTGTCTATCTAACTATCTGTCTGTCTTTCTGTCTGTTTATCTATTTATTCTACTTCACTTTCTAACTTTCCCCTTTGTCTCTTTATTGCTCCCCTTTAAAATATTTTGCTGCATTGTCAGATGTCACATTGAATGTCAAAATGAGCCATTTTGTCATACACTGGTGCACCACAGAATTCCCATCACACTGCATTATTCAATGTTATGACAGCGCTGTAATATTAATCACCTGTTCTGTTCCTTTCATATCTGCATTATTAAGCCTAGGCTGCTCTTTATGGATACTATATGCCATACCTACATTGAGAATTTAAATCATAATGACTTAAATTTGTGAACTCTCTCATGATTGAGCCTTCTGACCCTAAATGTCTTTTAACAGTATGTTTGATATACTAGCATGCTAAGCACAGTTCAGAAACAGAGTAAGACTGAAACTGAATGCAGGACAACACTGAATAGCACTGGTTCCTGTGTGTTACTCTTACCCTGATGTTCTGGTATGTATTGTGCCCGCTGCTTTTACCCAGAGTGTCATAATACAGTACGGAGAAACTGTTAAATACGTTCAACTTAAAGCTTTAAAGATCTAGATAAGCTCTGAATATTCTATTTCATATTCCCTCACAGACTTGATCCAGGCAACCCAGGAGTCCAATGTCAATATTCCCCAGATGGCTGATACCCTGTTTGAGAGAGCGGGAAATGCCAGCTGGATTGTGGTCTTCAAGGCTTTGGTCACCACTCACCACCTGATGGTCCATGGCAATGAGGTGAGAATCAAGCAATTGTGTTATTTATATGATACTTGTGAGGTAAACGAGTATTAAGTCCTGATATTTTGAATGGAATGATTATTATGAAGACATAGTGTCAGGTATGGTTATGGATAGATGTTTGTGGTGCATATACTGAGCTGAAGTCTGTCTGTGTGCATATATGTCAAACTGGGGCTAGTTGTCACAGGGGCTGTATCTCAGTAATTATACAGTTTTGAGTCAAAAGTCCACTTAGACAAAATATGCAATCTCTCTAGTAGTGGTTTTATCATTCAAAAGGTAATTTTTGAAAATTCCACAAAAATATTAATCAGCACAACTATTTTCAATGTTGATAATAATAAGTAATATTACAAAAAATCTGCATAATACTGTTTTTTATGGATTTTTTGATCCACTAAATGCACCCTCGGTAAGCATAATAATTTCGGTAACACTTTACCATAAGGTTCCATTTGTTGACTATATTTAATGCTTAACTAACTGTAACAAAGTTCGTAGTCACGGGAAGAAGGATACGGGAACCGGCGAACATTTAAAGAAAACTTTAAAATAAACAAACACAAAATGAAAGTAAAGCGGCAGCCCCTCGCGGACGACTGCCGCACACAAAACACAAAATAAAGTCCAGGCCTGGTCCTCTCTCGTCTTTCACTGTCGTAACTCCTCCTTTTATCCTTCCGGAGCTCCTCCGTGGGACTCGAGACCGGTGAGTGGTGCAGGTGTCGCTCATCATCAATTACTCCACCGGCCTCGCTCCGTTCCCACGGCTCTTGGCCCCGCCCCCGCTCGTCACATACCCCCATCGCCCCTCGCAGGCCGGGGGGTTATCCTGAAACTGCGCTCTACTCCCCCCCTCCCCCCTCCGGGGGAGCCGATCACGGCGGTCGCGGCGTACCTGGGGGTAAGGACAGACAGACGAGGCGAGAGAAAAGGAGACGGAAGGATGAGGAGAGACAGATACGAGAGAGGGGAGAGAGGAAAAAAAAAAAAAAATTATCGGTCCGGTTCCCGGACACACTGCCGCTTGGTCCTCAACCGGCTGAGAGGCTCTCACTCGCAGTGCCATGCGATGGTACTGGACATCGTTGGTGGACGGCCCACCGCTCCTCCGCCTACTGGCGGACGGCGATGGCTCCGCCTATTGAGGGCAGCTGGCAGCGAGTCCCCCGTTCCCTGCTCCTCTCCAATCGGATTGCAGCAGGCTCCGGCCTCCTGGCGAACGGGGCCGACTCCTCCGCTCCCTCTTGGATGGCAGCCAGCCCTCCTCGACCCAGGAGTGCGGCAGCGAGCTCTCCGTCCCACCTCGTCTTCCATCGTTCCAGCACCACCGCCTCGGGCAGCCACCGGCGGTCTCTCCGCTTGTTCCTGCTGCCCGATCTCCACAGCACCGCGATTCCCCTCAGCAGCGAGGGCTCTCTGACAGCGTGTCCCTCCTTCCTCCCGGGTTTCGGCACCAATGTAACAACATTCGTAGGTCGGGAAGAAGAAGGCGGAAACCGGCGAACATTTAAATACAACTTTAATAAAATAAACAAACAAATGAAAGTAAAGCGGCAGCCCCTCGCGGACGACTGCCGCACACAAAACACAAAAATACAGTCCAGGCCTGGTCCTCTCTCGTCTTTCACTGTCGTAACTCTTCCTTTTATCCTTCCGGAGCTCCTCCGTGGGACTCGAGACCGGTGAGTGGTGCAGGTGTCGCTCATCATCAATTACTCCACCGGCCTCGCTCCGTTCCCACGGCTCTCGGCCCCGCCCCCACTCGTCACACTAACATTAACTAATAATGAGCAATACATTTGTTACAGTATTTATTCATCTTTGTTAATATTAGTTAATAAAAATACAGCTTGAGAAGTATTTAGAAGTATTTTTCATTGTTAGTTTGTTAACTAATTATTACCGAAATTTCATTCAAAACTTTTAAACCGTCATGAATGTTTGTTTCACTGGACAGGGTGCAAACACTTAAAAGCTGAAAACAGTCAGACTTTTGCTGTTTGTGAGAATTACTGCACTGACCTGTCTCAAAATTCTAATTTCAACTCAGAATGTATTAAATGGCTCAATAATGCAACAAAATAAGTGGTTTGGAAAAGTGTTTTCTAATTGATTCTGGCTTGGGTCGCAGATGATTGCATTTCTGAAAGACATTAATGCAGGGTCTGCATAATATTTAACCTACATCAAAAGTGTTGTTTAAACCGTGCAACAAAAGTTTGTGAAGTCTTGCCTTGAATTTGAACAATTTTCTGTGGAGCTTATCTCTACAGCTGACCACCTATTGCACTCAAAGCCCTCTCGCTTTCTCTTATCACCATTATCACACCCATCAGACTCACAATAGGAGCAGAGACAGATAGGCGGGCAGATGCTCCAGCCCTCTCTCTCTTTCTGAAAGCGCAGTTTTTACTCTTTCAGTCAAGGCTGGCGCTGTGCAGCGACAGAGACATTGGAGAGTGAAAAGGCAGATGGCAGTGGAAAGCAGAATGAGATAAAGGGCAAGAAGAATGGATGATAAAATGAGGGAGCTTGAGAGGAATTGATAGAAATTCAGAGATGGAGAGGTGCAGCTTCAAAGGATAATTGAATAAATATGAAGTTACAGATGTGGGTTGCGTGTGAATAGGCGTCACTGTATTATAAATAGTGTTAGGGACAGTTATAGAGGTGTGCACAAGGACATGCTAGTTGTGACATAATGGAATGGCAAAGGTGTAGCTCATGAATATTAATTCTTGCACAACTAATTGAGCAACCTCATATTGTTATACAGTATATAGTACCATTCTAAAGGTTATGGGACGGTAAGAGATTTTTAAAATGTTTTTGATGAAGTCTCTTATGCTCATCAAGGCTGAATTTATTTGATCAAAACTTCAGTAAAAACAGTAATATTGTGAAATATTATTACAATTTTTTAAAAAGATTTCTTTTTATATATATTTAAAAATATTATACATTTTTATTATGGCAAATCTGATTTTTCCGCAGCCATTACTCCAGTCTTCAGTGTCACATGATCCTTCAGAAATCATTCTGATATGCTGATTTGGTGCTCAAGAAAATTATTATCAATGTTTCTTTATTATCAATGATTCTTTGAGTTCAAAACAATCACATTTATTTGAAATAGCAGTCTTTTTAACATTGTAGAAATTTTTGTCACTTTGGATCAATTTAATACATCTTTGCTGAAAACAAGTATTAATGTCTTTCAAAATGATTAAATGAACTTGAGATATTTCATCCAACTGTTGTTCAGGGATTTTATATCACCAATGCTAATTTATTGATTACTTTACTTACAAATGAATCAACAGATTAACATTTAAACAGAAAGAGACTGATTTGTTCGTCTTGTGGTGTTTCGTTTTGAGTAAGAGGGCTCCATAAAATCATCCATGGCTAAAAGTGATGGTCCCCTCATATGCATGTGATTATGTAAAATACAGTGTTGATTACTCCTGAAAGCATTGCCTTTCTTTCTGCTGAATATACAATGAGGGAAAATATGTCATAACTATAATATATGGTAGATGAGCTCACTTTCCAATATTCTAATTAAAGAGAGCTATTAAATTATGAATGTGACCTGCCAGACTGCTTTGTCTGAGGGGACAGAAGTGCTGCTTGATAATCTTCCCCCTAATGTTTAATTCGTTATTGTGGATATGAAAGCAAGGAGAGAGAGGTATAGCTTGATAATCAGACAGGAAGTGATTAGACTCTTATACTTTCACTCTGGAGGAAAAAGTCTGCAGGATATGTGTTCTATAACATCAGGCTATGTGCCTCTACAGGTCATATGCGCAAGGGAAGTGTTTACCCTGACACATGGATATTTGAAATGGTTAGTATTCTGACCTAGATGATTAAAAGTGTTAAGTACATTATATATAGCTTCATCTCCCCACAAGCCTCTGTATTGATCAGCTGACACATCAGTTAAACTCTGAAAGGCAGAACTGAAAAGGCACAGCACACAGAGATGGTGTAATGCTGGGATAGGTTTGCAAAAAATCACTTTGAAAAGATCATTCACGAGTAAATAAAATAATATATACCTTCTTTTCCCCCCCAGAATTCATGATCCAAAACTGCGATAAATCAGTTTCTTTCATCAGTATTTTTTCTCTCTTTTTCAAGTAAAACATCTAATCATGAAACAAATTTTAGAAACAAATTGCATTACATAATAAGGCTTTCTGTAGAGGATATACCTAAAATTAAGCTTATTTTTCTTAAATTAAGCTTATTTTTTAAGCAAAAGTCTAATAGCATTTATATTAAAAAGAAAAAAAAATAATAAAATTGACAATGGGCTAAGAAAAAAACAAATTCAACATATATTCTCTAAAACATTTTTTTTATCTTATATAGTTTTGCTTCTCAAGTAAATTTATTGTGTTTTAAAGATTTTATATGTTTTTGTACTGATTTTTACTATTTCAGTTAAATACTTTATACTGTGCATGGAATCATAACAGCATGTTCTGTCCAATTATTTTTAGTAAATTCTTTTCTGTACATTTCATTTTCGTTGCACTTTTTCCCCCCTAGTCTTGTATACCTACAATTTTTCATTTATGTGTTAAGCAGCATCAATTTGTTTGTAAATTCAGGCTGTATTCACTGCTTATATGCAGCGAGTGTGCTGGTTTTTCTTGATAAAACCTCTGCTGTTATTTCCATATTTGCATTCACTCCCACTCAGAGCTTTAATGTGAGTTCTGAGTGATTAGTCATTAGATGGTAATATCGGGTTTGTAGAAATTATTATTTTTTCTTCACTGAACTGCAATTTACATATACACTAATGCATTTCTTATCTCTGTATCTCTTTCAGTTGCTGTTGGACTTTTTTAAAATTTATTTATTTATTTATTAAGGGCGGTACTGAAATTGTAGTCTTTTGTGTTATGAATAACAGCCTAACATATGAATTATTCCATATTCCGAATTATAATAATTAATGCACATGAAAAAGATTACCTTTTTTTTGTTTTTTTCAGAAGTTCATCCAGTACCTGGCCTCCAGGAACACCCTATTCAATCTTAGTAATTTTTTGGACAAAACTGGCTCTCATGGTAAGTATTATTTCATGCAGTGAATGCAGTTGCTGATCAAAATCTTCTTGTTTGACATTAAATCACCATGAAAAGTTATGCGAGCTATAATTAATTGCACTGTTCTTAAATTAGCCACTGAGAATTCTTATTTTGTCAACTTTGTTGTTGTCCTGCCCAATTTAATTTGTCTATGAATATGAATGTATTTATAAATGCTTGCACTTTTCAGGTTACGACATGTCAACATTTATCAGACGCTACAGCAGGTATCTGAACGAGAAAGCGTTTGCCTACAGACAGATGGCTTTTGACTTTGGCCGAGTGAAGAAAGGGTAAATGAGTCCTCTGCTACATGGCTGTACCCTGAGTTAACAATTGTGCCAGTTGCATTGGAACGCAACTGAGCAATAACAGATTTGAGTGGGATGCTGGGAAATCAAGGACAACCTCTATAGCCCCTGAAAAGAGCCTTGTGATGCTGCTGTAGAAAAGCAGTTACATTCACCAAGTTTCCTGCTCCCTTGTGTGCAAGACCTTTGTTAAGAAAAATGGGGCATTACTCACAGACTGCCTACTGTATGTTGGCGACCAAGGTCTCATTGCAGGCACAATGAAGGAGCTACAACACATAAATTGGCTGATTTAGCTTGCTCAGACGTCCTGAACAAAACAACTCACAGCTAACAACTCAAACACACACACACACCAGATGATTAGAGACTAATGGCCATTGACATCAAGGACGATAATGAGATATACTTTAGAAAATCATTCTAAATTGAAAAGAATAATGGCAACAGTGGAATGATGTCATTGGAATCACTTTCAGAATGTGGTGATAACAATAAAAATGTTGACAGCCAATCAGAATCCAGCATTTAAAGAGGCAGATGACAGAACTGCAGCACATGCTTATAATAAACAGAACATTATAGTGTGTCAGTGTGTGGACGCTAATATAGTTATCATTATAGTTACCATTTTTGGTGTTAATGGGCCTTAAAAATAGTTCATTTTCTAGTCATGTTCCCTTAAAGGCAACCTCTCTTTGGTCATATTTGGCTGTATAATTTATTTCTGCTATGTTACTTATACAGTATATGGGTAGTTAATACCAAATACGTTCATAGACTTCATTAAGATTTTAAATTAAAATGCAAACAGATGCAAAATTTTAGATGCTTTGGTCACTATTTCCTTTACATTTTTCACAATTTTCACTAGCTCATTTTAAATGGTCCTACAGTGTAACAAATTAAGTTTTAAAGGTTTGTATTATGAGATGTAAAATTCCCAAAAGTACTTTGTCATATGATCTTAACATTTATGTTAGATAAAAACCCAAGAATTGTTATTATACCTGACAGTCTTGTTTGGATTACGTTCACTCACATATGATAAATTATTTGCAATGAATGTCATGTGAATGTGCGTGTGTTTCTCAGTGCTGATGGTGTGATGAGAACAATGTCTACTGACAAGCTCTTGAAAGGCATGCCCACACTGCAGAGTCAGATCGATGCTCTGCTGGAGTTTGATGTGAGTCTGCTTCCTGTCATTATCACAGGCTGTTTTAACACCTGATGCTTTTACACAGGGTTCATCATGCCTTGTTAGGATACACTCTTGCAAGATACGAATCTGTCCCATACTGACATTTTAATGATGTTTTTAGAATTTGAAAAATAATAGAATCTACACTTTCAGGTTAATCCAAAAGATCTTGCCAATGGGGTGATCAATGCTGCCTTCCTGTTGCTTTTCAAGGATCTGATCAAGTTGTACGCCTGCTACAATGATGGCATCATTAATCTCTTAGGCAAGTCTCAAGAATTGTATGAATGCATTGAGATTTCAAAGTCTTTGGTTTGACATCTGCAAGATTTGGCACAACTATGTGATTTACTATGATTTCCTTCTTCAATTTTAGAGAAATTTTTCCAGATGAAGAAAGGACAATGCAAAGATGCATTGGAAATCTATAAAAGATTCTTGACACGAATGACCAGAGTCTCAGAGTTCCTCAGAATCGCTGAGGTAAACAATGCATTTTATGTCTTTGCTTTAATTATAAAATATTCATCAAAAATTGCATTTGTGGTTCAAAGGTTATGTCATATATTCTTACCTTGTCTTTCAACAGCAAGTGGGAATTGACAAAAACGATATTCCTGAACTTACACAGGTAAGGCTCTCTTTAAACAGCATTTTCCGCCTTTTTCCATTCCTCATGATGCCAACACTCTCTACGTCAGTACTAACAATGCATGTCTGTGTTGTGGTGTTGTTTTAATATGTGTTGCATGTGTCGTAGCCCTCAAATCCCAGAGGTTTTAGCCAATTGTGAGGTTGTTATCCTTCCCTGGCCACTGGGCCAGTCACAGACATCCATGTGCTACATATAAGAGGTCATTCTTCTCTCATGTTGGGGCATTTGTCAGATTGGACATGTTCCATGGATCCATTCTGTCCTGTCCCCTCAGGCTGATTGACAGATTCTGTACCTGTCTTCTTATTTCAGCGGTGCAGATTGATCACACAGGCTGAGAGTGTGAGTAGCGTGTGGAGTTTTTTTCACTTTGGAGAATCCTGCAGCTCAGGAGAGAGCAGTCAATCCTCATTAGCGTTCATCAAATAAACTGCACACAAAATTTCATTTTAGAGTGAACTTGGATGCGACTGAAGGATCATGAGCAGAGAAGCAGCGATGCTTGCTGTCTGAGACGAGAACTCAAGCTGCAGTCACTTTTGCATCCCAGTAATGCTGAAGAATCGCCAAGAATAGAGTTTCCACAATCATTAAGACCCCTGTATATGTAGAATAAAGCAATTTACATAGAAACTATTTAAAGACGTCTGACGATTTTGGTAATTTCAGTAAATTTCTCTCTGATGGAGTATTTAACTGAGTGACATGTAAGAATGGTTTCTACATTTTAGATGAGCAAAATATGAAAATAGGCACTTTCCATGAATATGGAGCACTTTGGTGTTCTCTGACTTTTTTTTTTTTTTTTTAAGCATTACAGGCACAAATTGAATGTTTTTCTTTTGTAATGATTTTGGTAATTTTAGCTTTTTATGCACAAACTTAACATTATTTTCACCATATTACAAGAAATGTAATATGTTTTTTTTTTATTTTGTCGCTCAAGTAAAATTTTAACCCTTTCATACAGCATGACATTTTTTTTTTTTTAAGTCATTTTTCCCAATTTTTTACAAATATTGTTTAAATTTGACACCCAAGAAATAAAATTTTGAAGACAGTTTTAAAAAATCTTTTTATGGATTTTTATTTTATTTTTGCAAATGCTGTTTTGTTGACTGCCTATGGAGCACTTTGGTGTTTTCTGACTTTTTTTTTTTTTTTTTAAGCATTACAGGCACAAATTGAATGTTTTTCTTTTGTAATGATTTTGGTAATTTTAGCTTTTTATGCACAAACTTAACATTATTTTCATCATATTACAAGAAATGTAATATGTTTTTTTTTTATTTGTCGCTCAAGAAGTAAAATTTTAACCCTTTCATACAGCATGACATTTTTTTTTTTAATAGTCATTTTTCCCAATTTTTTACAAATATTGTTTAAATTTGACACCCAAGAAATAAAATTTTGAAGACAGTTTTTAAAAATCTTTTTATGGATTTTTATTTTATTTTTGCAAATGCTGTTTTGTTGACTGCCTCTGTCAGGCTTTCAAAACTGTTACCCAAAATAATCAAGCAAATATTATTTTTTAATTTATAGGAAATACACATTTAAATTATACAATTATTAGAAATTAAAAATATCCATAACATTTTTGACCTCCTGCCACCTTACCATTTATTGAAAAAGACTTAGTGACTTTTTTTTTTTTTAATAGTTTCAGTTTTGCACCCTATTCATAGAAAATGCCAACACTGTGAAACTAATCGGACTCTATAAAACAGAACGTCCTAATGGTTTTATGATTGTGGGATTTCTGACTTTTTTTTTTTTTTTTTAAGCATTACAGGCACAAATTGAATGTTTTTCTTTTGTAATGATTTTGGTAATTTTAGCTTTTTATGCACAAACTTAACATTATTTTCATCATATTACAAGAAATGTAATATGTTTTTTTTTTATTTGTCGCTCAAGAAGTAAAATTTTAACCCTTTCATACAGCATGACATTTTTTTTTTTAATAGTCATTTTTCCCAATTTTTTACAAATATTGTTTAAATTTGACACCCAAGAAATAAAATTTTGAAGACAGTTTTTAAAAATCTTTTTATGGATTTTTATTTTATTTTTGCAAATGCTGTTTTGTTGACTGCCTCTGTCAGGCTTTCAAAACTGTTACCCAAAATAATCAAGCAAATATTATTTTTAAATTTATAGGAAATACACATTTAAATTATACAATTATTAGAAATGAAAAATATCCATAACATTTTTGACCTCCTGCCACCTTACCATTTATTGAAAAAGACTTAGTGACTTTTTTTTTTTTTAATAGTTTCAGTTTTGCACCCTATAAAATGCCAACACTGTGAAACTAATCAGACTCTATAAAACAGAACGTCCTAATGGTTTTATGATTGTGGGAGCTCTGTTATGAGATTAGGAGGGTTTTTCATGCTGGCAGAAATGGGGGAGGCTTGCTCTGAAAGCATGCTGTGTGTGATACTAGGGGTAGGATGGTTGCCTTCTTCAGATATTCTGGATCAATGGCGGAGTTCAGGACATGCTGCAGGGAGACGTGCATGACTGCCTGGGTTCTGGATTTGGCAGTGGTTGTAATTAATTGGGTTTTGGCCTAGGATGCACAGCTGTGTAGCTCAAGAAATTTGATGAATTTTACAGGGTGTATTTATGTTCACACACAATTTAGATATTCCTTCTTACATTCCTATTTAAAGGTCTTTAGTGTATTGAAGTCCTTTGATAGCTGCATTTTGCATAGTTTGATAGATCATCTCCTTACATGATCAGTTGTGTATGCGATCACAATCTACATAACCAAACAGAATTTTCATTTGCATACTATTTGTTTTTATCTGCGATTAGTGTGAAGAAATATTAGTTTGAGAAAAGCCTGGTCTCTTTCATTAAACTTGATGTAACCCCTCCCACTCTGACTGCAATTAGTAATCAAAAGAAATGTTTTTAACGCTCATGCATTTTTCAGTTAAGCATTTGTGTCACAACAAAAAACTCTCATGTCTTACTGGAGCTAAAGAGACACAGCACTAGAGTCTTTCTAGGTTCTTAACCACACACATTTGTGTTTAACACACTGTTTAAAGATCACTGTTATCAGCTCAGTATAAAGCACAGGGTAATTAATGGATTAATTGTATGAAAATTAATCTTCATTGTAAATGTGTATGACAGTGTTTAACTGTGTGTGTGTGTGTGTAGGTGAGACAGAGAATGGGAAAGGGGGTGAGTGATATTGAGGGTATGGCTAAGGTTAGAGGATTGGTGTATTTGACCAGAGGCGCTTCTCAAATCACTAATCTGTCTGCTAGAGCGCCAGTATAATTGTCTGAGAGTGCTGCCCTGAAGGATTGGTTTAGCTGCCACTGCTGGTATTACTGAATGAAATATCATACACTATTTTGATGAACAGCAATAGATCATGTATATTAATCATACTCTGGAATACTCCATTCTGATTGGTCAAACACACCAACTTGCAGACGTAATGACGTATGTTTCCATGGCAGCACTGTAAATCAGTCAGGTAACCAATGTTGTGCTTAAATCGGTGAGGTCGCAGTTCATTAAATGTTTCGTTAAAATTATTATTAAGGACAGACTGCGTTACAGCATTCTCAAATTCACTTTTCTGTATTTTAGCAAGCATTTAGCTAAATACAGACATACAGCAGGGAAACCAAATCTGACACGGCAGCATTCAAGGTTACCGAAACCTGTAACTCCCCTCTCTTTTACACATAATTACTTTAATTTTCTGCCATTTCACTCTGGTGATGTTGAAATTACTCCGCCTCATACTCTAGAAAGTATTTTTGTTTTATTTAATATAAACCGCTACCGACACACAGCAGGGTCACCAGAGCCGATAAAGCGGTAGTAGAGGTCACTGAAGTCTGTTACCCCCCTATGTTTTTTTTTGTTTTACACAGAATTGCTTTAATGTTCAGTAAATTCACTCTAGTGGTTTCTAAACTCTTCTGTTTCATACTCTAGAAAGTATTTTGGTCTGATGTGAACCGCTTTAGACATGCACCAGGGACATCAAGTCCAACAAGGCAGCATTAAAGGTTACCGAAATCTGTTACCTCTCTCTATTTTACACAGAATTGCTTTAATGTTCTGTAGACTTACTCTGTTGATGTCAAAATTACTCTGCTTCATATTCTAGAGTGCATTTTGTTTTTATATAAACCGCTACAGACATATAGCAGGGTCACCAAATCCGACAGGGCACTCCACTCGTGATAGGTAGTTGATTTTATAATATTAATAATGATATTACAGACCTGATCAAACTGTATTTCATTTTCAAGATGAATTTGAGAATTGTAAAGGCTTTGTGACATCAGATGTCATATCATGTATGTTAGATGTGTGTATTTTTACTAGACCTAGACAATCAATAAATGCTCTTTGGTGCTATGGCACATCATATCATATTGCCCTAGGCCAAAGACTTTTTATTTAGCTATTATTTGTGAACTAACCACAAAAATGGTCTAGTTTTTATATATTATTTTAATTTATATGATTTGTCTGGCCTATTTAGCTGTAACTGCATGACATTTTTACACATGAGATACACCCACCAGCGATTATGTGGCATGTCTAACAAATAATGTGCTCTGAATCTTTCTGTTGTGCCTGAATGCATGAGTGAGCATGCTGCAGTGCATTGTACCAGTGTAAGCCTTAAGTCTATTGCTTGTATACATTTATTGTCTTAGAAACTTATAAAGTGTTATAGTCATTTTCTAGTACATTTTGTCCTCTACTTGTCTTCATTTAGTGTTAGCAGCTTGACTTTGTCTTTTTGTATTTTGTAGTCTGAAACAATGTGTCCTTAGTGGTAGGTCACTTTTAACAGTGCATTGTTTTGTGGCTTTGTAGGCCCCTGAGAGTCTTCTGGAATCTCTGGAGACACATCTCAACACGCTCGAGGGGAAGAAAGTGTAAGTGCTTTAATTCTTTTGAATAACATGAAGTAATCAAATAAATGAGTCTCTGCTTTTTCTTGAATAAACAAAGCCTTTTTATTACTAATAAAATAACTACTTTTATTACAAAGAGTAATATTGTTCCTCCTTTCCTTGTGTTAACAGTGATGAGTAAGTATTTCTGCAGAATTAACATATATGTAAACATGATTATATTTTCGTACTGTAATGGTGATTTTGTCGTCATTGTGATGTTCAAAGTTCTATAGACTGATGGTTGAACTTCAATTTTAATTTTCAGCATTTTAAAATGTTGAAGTTCCCTCTCTCTATAGAATGAATTATTTTTAGTCTAGCTTTATAATTAAGTTCACTCTGTACAAACTGAACCAGACTGAACTTAAAAAACTAACAGTGCCAGCCCTGAATTGATCGATTTCTCAATATGAATTGATCAATTTCTCAATATGAATTTCAGTGTCATGTGCACATTTGTATTGTAACTGAATACTCCACATTCCCCAATGCATGCCTGGCGGGAAGGGGGATATTTTGGAATTGTTTATATGTTCCACAAGAACATTTTCAAAAAGTAGCAGAGTAAAAATATATTTTATTTTCATTAATAATGTCTTGTTGACCTGCCTGCTGTTTGAAAATAATTCCTCATGTCATGAATTATTATAATTCCATCATTTAACCTTTTGAGTATGATGTTTTGGAAAAGTTATTTTAAAAGCCATTCTTACATTCTTTACATTTTCTATCACTAGGTCACCGACTAAGGTGAGTAATGAATAAAAAAAAAAACATTTTTTAAAATTTGATTATGCAGTATTACACTATAGTTCAAAAGTTTGAGAGCCATTCTTACATTCTTTACATTTTCTATCACTAGGTCACCGACTAAGGTGAGTAATGAATAAAAAAAAACATTTTTTAAAATTTGATTATGCAGTATTACACTATAGTTCAAAAGTTTGATGTTAGTAATTTTTTTTTTTTAGGTTTTTGAAGTATATTAAAATGTGATTTATTTCTGTAATGGCAGATCTGAATTTTCAGCAGCCATTACTGCAGTCTTCAATGTCACATGATCCTTCAGAAATCTTTCTAATAAGCTGATTTGGTGCTTAAGAATCATTTCTTTTTTATTAGCAATGTAGAAAACAAAAATGGGCTGCTTAATATTTTTGTGAAAACCATGATATTGATGTTCTTTCAGTATTCTGGGCTAGTGAAGCCCAGAGAAATTAACTAGTGGCTTAGCAATGTGATTATAAAATATAATAAATAACTCACTTTATTGAAATGAAATCATTTAATGATGACTAGAACTAATATAATAGTTCAACTTTACACAGAAACAAACTTAATTTGAACTGATTTATTATTAGTAGTAGTAGTATCTTTATATATTATACTAATTCATAATTAATGGTCGTGTAGTTTTACAACTTGTACTGTATATGGTTGCTAGTTTATAAATTTAAAGCTGACGAGCACAATAATGCACTGAAATAAGAAGTATAGACCGTTCACTTATCTAGCTGTTGAGTCTTAGAGGAACTCTGAAAGCGCGATGCAAGATGCTCTAGTGAATGCTAACCAGTCATTTTAATGCAACGCAGCAAGCTCATTTGGCTGCGTATGCAACATGAACTAATCAGCTTGTGCCGAGTAGTTTAACACTGAATATCATCAGTTTGCGGTAAGGACTCGTCAGCCTGCGCCATCTAGAGTTTCATGACAGAACTTGGCATTTATTTGAAATAGAAATCTTGTTTATATTATAAATATATTTACTGTCACATTTGATCATTTTAATGCATCCTCGCTGAATGAAAAATATGACCTCCAACTTTTGAATAGTAGCTTATATTATTCTGCATAATATTATACAGTATTATAAGACATTATTCATGTTATTGTGTATTCAATTAAATAAATGGTAAACTCAACATGACACATATAGAAGGGATCTCCAACAAATAATGGAACACCTGCTGGTACCCCTGCAAAAAACGCAGAGCCCACCGCTGCAGCAGCTGCGGTTACTGAGACCGCCGCAGCAGAGCCTGCAAAAGCAGCATCAGCTACAACCACCATCAAGTAAGTTCAAAAAAATGTATAAAAATGTCTCATACATAAAACAAAAGCATCCTGAAATGTCTTGCTTCCTGTAGATGCATCACTCTCTCTTGTCTTTTTCACTATACAGTAGCGGCTTTAATGATCTAGTGGATTTTGATCTGTTGGCTCCAACCACAGGGGCTTCAGCGGCTCCCACAGCATCATGGGGAGGTGAGCTGGTGTCATTTAGTTTGTGTTGTAGAGTGTTATTGGGTTGTTTTATTACATTCTTTAATATTGTTTTATCAGGTCAGGTCAAGTGATCACGTTTCAGATTAAAATGTGCAAAAAATCCCAGCGCTTATTGTAATAGACTAAAAAACTGGAGGTTTGGGTTGTTATCTGTGTATATATGATTCATATTACTATTATAGTTACTTTGAGCTAAACTGCAGGAACCATTTCTTCCCAAATTAGGCCAGTTATGGGAATATATATTGAGTGGGCACTCTAATGAGTTATAATGACAGACAAATGGGAAATGTTCCTCCCCTCTGCTTTTCTGCCCAAGCTTGTCAAGTCCCAGTTGTAAGCTGCAGTTTCTTTAGAAAGACAAATTGTACTGTACATTCAACTAATTCAGGGACAGATCAAACATCTGTTTTCATCTAACACACTCTTCTTCTTTTCTTCTTCCCTCCTCTTTTTTGGGTTTGGTTTCAGATCTGCTTTGTGAGGGTGAGTAAAAATGATTTTCAGGTTGCAAATACATCCAGAATTTATTTTATTTTATCATAAAAGCTTTTTTTAAGCATTTCAGAATTTGAATGGGCATGCCACTCTTGCATCTTGTCTACAAAGGAACTTTCTGAACAAACTTTTCACTGTCCGAATCTTCACTCTACTTTTCTGATCCAGCCGTAGCTTTATGAAGTCATTTTGCTAAAATCTCTCCATAAAAAACTCTGAGCTTTCTTTCATCCCGTCTACATCCTTGTCTCTCTCTCCTCCTCCTCTGTCTTTCTGAATGCTGTGGTTTGGTTGTGGCTTGGCTGTGGCGGGGTTCCAGACTCTCTGGCCGCTCCTGCTGCTGCTGCCGCTAGCTCTGAAGCGCCCCTTTCTGAGGCTGACTCTGCCTCTGCCGCAGCCTCTGCTATCGAACCAGTAGCTGACGCCATCGCTGCCCCGGCCGCTGCCTCGCTGCCAGTGCCTGCCCCCGCTGCCGCCATCTCAGACATGGATCTGTTTGGAGGTCAGTCAGGTCATCTCCAGGCTTAATTATCAGGGAAGAATGGGAGTTCATGGGTTGTTTAGCAGTCAGTTTGGTCTGTTTGTGTACATAGATTGATACTGGTACTATTTTAAGTCACTTAGCTGACATTATGGTACTTCAGCAAGGTACAGTAACTTGTCAGTTTGATATTTAAAGGGGTCATATGATGCGATTTCAATTTTTCCTTTCTCTTTGGAGTGTTACAAGCTCTTGGTGCATAAAGAAGATCTGTAAAGTTGCAAAGACTAACAATAATGAACAGTATGTGGAAAATAATGTGTTTTTTTAACTTTAAACCGCATAAACACATTTCATTACACCAAATACACAAAATAATGTTCTTTTTAGCAGCATCATATGACCCCTTTAAGTAAACACCCTTTGCCATATTGGCAACCTTTTCTTTAATAGCTTTTCCAAAATGTGGCCTGAAGTCACTATCATGTAGGTAAAAACGATTTAGTTCAATAGACCATTGGACCATACGTATTAGAACAGAACGTATTATCAGTCCTTCCATACAGCTGAGCTGATTAATTTTTTTTATGAAGCAAATTGCTAATATAGATAAGGCACAATACACTACTTTTGAATTCATTATTGAATTTTGTGCATAACAATGTTTAATCGTTGCCCAGCATTAATATATATATATATATATATATATATATATATGCAATTTGAATGCAATGGCATCATATATTTACATATATTTAATGTCAGAGTATAATGTCTGTAGATCAATGTTATTTTAGTAACTGAGGTACTATTATAATTTTTATTAATATTTAAATTTTTATATTTTCCATTCCAATTTTTTTTAATATCACTATATAGTTTTTATTAATTTTAATATCAGTTTTAGTTTTAGTTATTTTTGTACATTAATTTAAACTAAATGAAAATGAGAAATGTTACCTTGGCAACTAGCTGAAATGAAATAAGTTAAACATTTTTTAATATATTTTATTTTAAGTAACTTTTTTTTTTTCTTATTCTTTTTAGTTTACTATAATAACTCTGCTGGTAATGTCTATAAAAGTTTCACACAACATTACAGACACAGATCATGAATAAATCATCCACAATTTTTTTTCCATTCAAATGTGTAATTTTTACCCTTGACACTTGAATGTAAAACTGGGAATAAGATGCTAAAGTACAAGCAAAAGTCTTGTGCAGAATTAATGCATTTCCTTCAAATGCAGAATAATTCTATGTAATACAGGACGTTGGCTCATTTCGTACAAAGCTGTGCATTCTGTTGATTTAATACTCCTCTAATTAAATCAACCAGCAGTTAAACAACCCCAAGCTATTTTTATTTCTCTCAGCTAATAAATGAATTAATTCGTACCTGGACGTGCAGGTCTCCATGGGGTTTGTAATATTACATGCCACAATGTTCATCACTCGGCTAACAGAAACCATGCTTTAGCTAACAGAAACCATGCTGTCAAAGCCAAACACTTTCTTTTACTCACTTTTTGGTCCTGACAGCATTGACAGGATGCTCCACGCAGCCTGACTCATTTCCCTCAGTGTTTGTTTGTGTGTGGACACACTGAATTAAACTGTATATAGCCCACACTGGTATATTTTACTGCCATTTGGGTCGTATAGAGTGTTTCTGTTCACTTGTAATCACCGACATTGAAATCTTTCTCTCTCTATCGCCTCTTCATCCCCGTTTCTGTTTCTCTGTTGGGTTTTGTTGGTCTGGTTCTGCCCAGACGCATTTGCGCCCTCCCCAGGCGATGGTCCGAGCGAGGGTGTGGCCCCAGCAGCTGCTGCCGATGCATGTGCCGGATCTGGTGGGTGCTCATCTGTACACAAGATCCACCCTGCTTTTTATTTGTGTGTGTCTGTGGATTTATGGTTGGATATGAAAGGTTTGTGTGTATGGGTGCGTGCTTGAATGGAAACATGAAATCCAACAAACGCTATGGTCAGCGATCTGTGTGTGTGTGCGCGAGAGTGCATGCAATTTTGTTTGCATTGCTTGAGTTATCAAACCCTGCTTTTGCCCACGCGTTACAGCAAAATCAATTTGTCCATGAGCTGCCTGAGCACATACACTGTTCTCTGCAGGCACAATTGATCATTTCTCTCCTTAAAATTCAAAAATCATTTTTATTCACCATTTTTGTCGTTTTACATTAAAAAGATGTTCACATCCTTAAAACATTAAAAGCAACACTGTTGATTATATGACTTGTCAGAGAACATACTTGTTTATTTTTCTTACCTTGTAGCGTGTAGTTTTTCTTTTGGCTTTAAGCATAAAACTCACATTTGTTTAGATTTGAAAAAGAAAAAAAAAATAATTCAAGATATATTTCCTAAAGGTGTATGATGAGTTGCTTCTCAAGTAAAATTGATTTTGCTTTAAGGATGTTTGCTTTACTTGAAAACAGGACAAAATATTTTCAAGAAAATTATTTTTGCCTTTACTTTCTGCTATGTTAACCTTACTAATAATTCAGCTGCACACATTAATCTTTTAATTTCCCTTCCAGACTATATTTTCAGTATCAGTGATTCATTCTAACAACTAACTTTTATTTTCATGAAGTCTGAAGAGCAGAAGCTTAGTGGTTGTATTTCCATAATGCAGCTACTGAGATATAACATGAAAAGGGTTACTTTTACCTTTATATGTGCTTTTATTGTAACATTAACTTAGCTCTGCTTCCACATTAAGGCTAGGACTTTAAAAATCTGCAGCCTATGGCATCCAGACTGTATTTCCTTGTTTTTGTGTAATCTACTATGACTAATAGTATCTCTATAGACAGCAAGCATCCTGAGGGATGTATAATTATACAAAACAGAATAAAAACGACATCATTTTTTTTCTAGGATGTTCATTTAGTTTTTATAGTGTTTTTAATGGTGGTTGCAGTACTAAGGTTAATGGTGTCTTAAAGTGTGCTTTTGAAAGTAAAATCCATCTCCTCTCTCTCCGTGACTTCAGTGGTCCTGAAGTTATGAGCTTGCAGTGTGTTTCTTTTTTTGTTTGCAGTGTTTGTTATTTAACAAACCTTCCCCATTCCATTTTTACCCCTAATCCTTCCCGATAAAGACCCCTGGGCTCCATCGGAGGGTAGTGCAAGCATTGCCCCAGAGCTGGACCTCTTTGCCATGAAGCCGGTAGAGAGTGTCGCTGCCGCAGCATCCCCTACTAGCGCCGAGCCGAGCATCTCGCCAACAGCAGCCCCAGCTACCCCTTCTCCTCCCACTGCTACTGCTACCGCCACCACCACTACCATCACCACATCCGCTACAACTGAGTCCACTGCCCCGCCAACACTAGACCTCTTTAGTGGTAATGTCTCTGCTGTAATTCTGCCTCTGTCTTGCTTTACTCTGCATTATGACAATATTAACTTGTTGAGCTAGTTCCCCAACATTATCAAGATTCTATTTTGTTTGATTTCTCTCATTTAGATTTATATTTTATGTTTTGGTCATTCTGGTTTGTGAATCGTGGCCTTAACCACCTTTTCAGTGCTGAGAAGTATTCTTGACCCTATCAAAATAAGTAATTTATCTGAGAAAAACATAATTACTGTTATTGTAAATATAAATATATCTGTACACTACTGTTCAAATAAAGTTGCAAAGAAATAAATACATTTGTTCAGCAAGAAAGCATTAAAGGGATAGTACACCCAAAAATGAAAATGTCATTAATTACTCACCCTCATGTTATTCCATTTTTGTTTTCTTTGCGCACAACAAGAATTCTCGTAGCTTCATAAAATTACGATTGAACCACTGATGTCACATGGACTATTTTAATGATGTCCTTACTACATTTCTGGGCCTTGAACGTGGTAGTTCCCTTGCTGTCTATGCAGGGTCAGAAAGCTCTCGGATTTCATCGAAAATATCTTAATTTGTGTTCCGAAGATGAACGAAGGTCTTATGGGTTTGGAACGACATGAAGGGTGACTAATTAATGACAGAATTTTAATTTTTGGGTGAACTGATCTCTTTAAATTGATCAAAAGTGACAGTAAAGACATTTATAACGTTGCAAAAAAGGTGTATTTCAAATAAATTCTGTTCTTTCTATTAATCAAAGAATCATGAAAAAATATAAAGCAACTGTTTTCAGCATTGATAATAAAAAGTGTTTCTTAAGCAGTAAAATGTTTTATATTAGAATGATTTCTGAAGGATCATATGACACTGAAGACTGAAGTAATGGCTGCTGAAAATTAAGCTTTGACATCACAGGAATAAATTCAATTTTAATTTAAAGGTACAATAGGAGATCTTGGAAAATGCTAACTTTAGCCTGATGGCACTGAAAGCGAACGTCCAAACGCTCGGACCGAACGTTTTGATTAGACGAACATTTCTTGATCCTACACCTTCCACAGAATATATAAATACAGACAAATACATTTAGACCACTTAACTTAATGATTGCTATCGGGATGTGAAGAGACTTTCAACCAGCATAACAAAAAAAATTTCTGAAGAAAATCACCTATTGCACCTTTAATGTATTAAAATAAAATCTAGCACTTTCTATACTATTTTAATTCTACTTTATCTATTTATCATCTTTTTTGTATAAAAAAAACACTAGCTTTCTATCTACTTGTTTTTCTTTGTGTGTGTGTGTATAATATATATATATATATATATATACAGTATATACCTTAGGCTAACCGAGACTTGTCATTTGCACTTATATATTGTTGCTCTTTTGTTAGTTTAGGACTGCTCCTATTGTCCTCATTTGTAAGTCGCGTTGGATAAAAGCGTCTGCTAAATGACTAAATGTAAATGTAAAATAGAAAACAGTTATTTTGAATTGTAATATTTCACAAATTTACTGTTTTTGCTGTGTTTTTGATCAAATAAATCCTGCCTTGGTGAGCATATGAGACTAAAAAAAATTGAACGGTATTGTAAATATTTAAAATATTTGTAAAATAATAGTTATAATTCTAAATAATGCTATTGTATAACAATGTCAAAAATATTATAGTTGTAAATAAAGAGGGGTGGTCAATGTCACTGATTCACATTTGGCCTCTTAAAATTGCACTGCAATCTGTCAAAATCCAGGATTTGCAGTGACCACATTTGTCCTGCAGTCATTTTCTGGTGTTTTTGACCAAATCTGAATGCTGTCGTTTGCATTGACATCTGTAGACTTGTTTGAGTAGGCTCTTGTGCTACTTGTTCAGAGTGATTATCCAAAAGAGCAAGCAAAACAAAATGTTTTAACATCTAAATGGTGTTTCCTCTCTCTCTCTCTCTCACTTAAAGCTGTCTTGATATGCTCTGACTGAAAGTGTAACGCATATGTGTGTCCTTGTTTATAGATATGTTTGATTCTATGCCTGAGCAAAGCTCCTCCTCAGAGCCCAAAGCAACCACTCCTAGTGTAGACCTATTTGGTGCAGGTACAGGAGTTGATCTTGTCTTTTCTAGTCTCATCTTTCTTCTTTCTCATCTGTTTTTTGGCCCACTCCGTCTTGGTTTGTCCTCATAGTGGAACGTGGACTTGTGCATGTTTGCGCCCTCCAAAGCTCGACTCAGTGTCCTTTCTATGCTTGTGCTCCTTAGTGATTTCTCTTCTCTTACATTTCCTCCTCCACTTCCTCTTACTGCTTTGCTTTGGTCTGAAAGATCTTCCCGCTGTCTCACGTGGGCCTTCACCTTTGCCTGAGGCCAGTGTGACTGGTGACCTCTTGTCTGGTGAGTTTACTTGTCTCTCTAAACATAGCATGTTTTGTCTTTTACCATGAATTATTATATTATGATTATTAATGAATTAATAAATTGTGTTAATTAATAATGAATCACATTATTATTAATACTAAATATATCATATGATCAAATAATAATAATAGTGATGATAATTCTATAATTATAATTTAATTTAATTTCTCAGTTCAACTTTTAACATAGATTGTTATGCTAATGTAATGAATATTTGTATAAAATTGCAAAATTTGAAATGTAAGTATTGGATAGTACCATTAAATGTATTTATAAATTGCTCGGTATGTGCCATGAATTATTATTATCATACTCAATAAGGAATAGCTGTCACTTTACTTACTTACTTCTGTATAACACAAAAGGAGAAATCTGGGAGACTACTTTCCATGATATTTACAGCATTTTTTAAGCGTCAATTTTCTGAAACTTTGTCCACTTAGTGAATGAGTCATTCTTTTCTTTTGAGTCTTTTCAGTGAATCTCATTTGATCAAATTCAGCTAAATTTCAGTCTGTTTTTCACACAAAGTTATTGAATGACTTCAAAAGACTTGAAAAATAGTTCATGAGTTATATGAGTCACTTTTATGATAGTTTTATGGTGTTTTGTTTTCCAGTTGCCATTCATTCTAACTGCATGGAAAAGCACAGTCTTTCAAAATAAATTCTCCTTTTGTGATCCGCAGAAGACCGATAGTCATGCATGTTCGAGTGAACGATTCCTTTAAAAATTAAGTATTGTATTTTAGTTTATGTTCCTCCAATGCACTTTTACTTCCACTATACATTACAGCTGCATCCCAAACTGCTAGTATTAGCTAGATTTTATTTAGAAATGTCAAAATTACTCCATATTCTCTCTTTTCCATTTAGACTCATTTGTTGCTCCAGTGGCTCCTGTCTCTCCTTCTAAAGCCGAACCTGGACCTGTGCTGGACCTCCTTGGTGTGTCTAAACTCGCTCATACGAAACACCAATCCAGAAAACCAATATAGAGATTGTCATATTCCATGGTTTCCGCTGTGGTGGAACCCAGTGAATTATGATCAGGGGTTTTTATCTGACTGCACAACATTTGAGCTTGATGAGCTTGTTCATTTGTGCTGAGCTTGTTCGTTTTCTTAGCATAGACATTTAAATTTATGAACTGGTAAGTATACACCAGCTGTTTCATAACCCAGTTTTTCAGTTATAGTGGCTAGTTTCTGCGGTTTGTTTTGTCTGTTAAGTGAGCAGACGATAATGAAGTTGGGAAGATACTGTAGATATTTGTTTGGTGTGTGTTTGAGTTTAGTGTATTTGCATTCTGTGCCGTCATGTGTACTTTGTAAGTGGGGGAAGATACACCGATCGCATATCCGTCAGTGTTTGTTGCAATGTAGGAGTGTGTTGCCTGTTGTATGATCTCGGCTCACTCTCTCCATCTGCCCCTCTCTCAGTGTGTATGCAGCTTTAAGGCTGACTAATGCTTCTCCTCCTTCATGCTGCGCTGTGGGACGTCTGTCTCTGGAACAGACACATTTGGTGACACTACTGGGGAGACCCAGTCCGCTGCTCCTGGAGCACCATCAGGTGACCTGCTTGGAGGTATGGGTCACATATCCTGATTAGGAAAATGCCCTTTTTTGTTGATGATGAAATGGAGAAGTTAGACGTGGCACTGCTGAAGAGCTGTTCTATTTATGTAATACAGTTAAGGGCTAATAAGCAAACAAACAAATAAATAAATAATAGTAATGAATAATTAGATTAATCAACATATATCAATAATAATAAAAGTAATAATTACTAATTACTATTATTGATGTTTTGTTGTTAAATGTATAATTTACCTACTAATAATAATTATTATTATTATTGTTGTTAAATGAAAATTTGACCTAATAATAATAATAAAAAGTAATAATAATATTTACATAAATATATATTATTCTATAAACTAAAACTAGGAGATAAATATATACCAATAATAGGAAACATATTTGAATGAATGCACATTTTTCAGTTAAACACAAATTGTTGTGTTGTTTTGTAATGGAAATGTATATTAAATTGAATTATGTTGTTATTGTTAACTAAAAAGAATTCATAATAATTAATTATTAAAAATTATTAAAAACAAAAAAAATCATTTTAAGTAATTGAAGTTAAAATAAAATGAGTTAAAATTTAAAATAAAAAAGTGAAGATAAAAAATAAATAAAATATTAGATGAAAAACTTTTTAAAAATAAATAAGTTTGAAGTTGAAGTACTACTAAAAATGAAATTAAAGCTATATAAATACTTTTAAAAAATTATAAACATGAAAAAAAATTACTAAAGCACAAACTAAAATTAAAAGTATTAAAATAAAAGCTAATTTAAAATATTAATAAAAACTATAATAGTATATAAATAATAAAACGACACTAAAACAACACAGCTTCTCAATTAATCTTTTGGACCCCACTGTTTATTAAGTAAGTTCAATTTAATCGATTGATAGCCTTAGCTAGAATACTTTTTAAAAAACTGTTTATGTACATATAAACAGTAATATAGTTCAGAAACACCATGTTTTGATATTGATCTGATGCTGTTCCATAATGAACTGTTTAGATATTTAAGAACTGTATAGAATCTTAAAGTGTGCTATGGATTTGGCATCTTATCTGTTGTTGTCTGCAGGGTTGATTTCACCGGTCACCCCCACAGTTACACCAACCCCAGCACCAGTGCCATCCTCAGCCCCAGCTGACCTGCTGGAGTCTGCTTTTGATGCCTTTGGCTCTGAGCTGGTATCCGCCACACCAGCGGCGGCAGACTGTGCCCCTGCCACCGCAGCGCCCTCTGGTGGCTTTGACACATCAGGTAAGAAATCAAATTATATATGTTCACTTGGGTTTTTGAACAGATAATTATACTCTTATTAAACATGAACACTTACCTATTTGACAAAACTGTTTTTAGTTTCTCTTGAACCCAGCAAGGCTTCTTTCAGGCTTGCTTGCTTCTCAGCATACTTTTGCCTTGCATGAGCACTCCTGTATCTGCTGACCTTCTTAAATAATACAGAGAGGATATGGCAGTGCTTATAAAATGCATTCTCCCTGTGCTTTTTCTCCTTTTTCATTTAAATTTGTGTTCTGTCCATTCTTGCTCTCTTACTGAAATACTTTTTTCTCAACTTTATGATCTGTCCCATTCTTCTGTCATCTCTCTGCGCTTTGTTTCTGATAACTCTCTCTTTGCACACTGATCTGGCTCATTGCTTGCTCCTGCTGTGCCATTGGTGAGTTGGCGAGAGAACTCAGGGCTTTGCACCATGTATTGCTTTATCTGATCACGCCTAAGGGTTTGGGAGGTGTGAATGTTCTAGCGCTGTTTGTTCTTCCTGCACACCCTTTACCCTTTGACCTCTGTGCAGTTTTTCCCTGCACACCCACATTACAGATCTTGTGCATTGCTGCATTAGAATAAATTGCCTGCCTTAGTGTTGTTGGTACCGGAACATTTTTTTTAAATAAATGGTGCACTAGGTACTTTGGACTTATGTTTATAGGCCTGGATCTTGTTATAAGAAAAGGTTTTTGGATACTAGTGCCATACTGTAGGTTTTTTTGACAATCAGTGTTAATTTATACACACTTTTTGTCCTAGTCATAGGTTTTGTATTTTGAAAAAAATGTCTTTTACATTTTTTTAATGTTTCATCATATTATATTCATTCATTTTAGTCCATTTGTCTCACAAAATGTTATGTAATTTATGTTGATATAAATAACATTCATATACAAAATGATGAGAATTTCATAATTTTACAGACCAATCTTTAACCAAATTTTTGATACTTTTAGATACTTTATTCAATTCTTGTTAATTTTTCATGGTTTTTCAGAGTGTACATTTTTTAACGTTTGTAAAAAGTGACATTTCTTAATTTGTTTAGATGTAAAACTTGCAGAAAGTTATCGTAGGCTGAAAAAATACTTGGTGCACCTTAACAATTTTTGAAGACCCTAAACGTTTGCTTTTAAGGTTAAAGTTTTGGGTCATTGACTGGGAGGTGTTGGAACTCAGCCCATCTCCTCATCCATCACAACTGGTTCTTCAGAAAGGATTTTTTCTTTGGTGCCTGACAGAATGCATCCAACCATATTGTAATGCAATGGAAATCCTGTTCATAAGATGTGTTGATGTGTGTTGCCAGTTTTCGACTTTCTAATGCATGTAGTAAACACTCCTGAATGCAGTTTTTAATACCTCATGAATGAATACCTATTTTTTTTAATATATTAATACATTACTGTTCAAAAGTTTAGGGCCAGTTTTTTTTCGTTTGTAAAAAGTGACATTTCTTAATTTGTTTAGATGTAAAACTTGCAGAAAGTTATCGTAGGCTGAAAAAATACTTGGTGCACCTTAACAATTTTTGAAGACCCTAAACGTTTGCTTTTAAGGTTAAAGTTTTGGGTCATTGACTGGGAGGTGTTGGAACTCAGCCCATCTCCTCATCCATCACAACTGGTTCTTCAGAAAGGATTTTTTCTTTGGTGCCTGACAGAATGCATCCAACCATATTGTAATGCAATGGAAATCCTGTTCATAAGATGTGTTGATGTGTGTTGCCAGTTTGCGACTTTCTAATGCATGTAGTAAACACTCCTGAATGCAGTTTTTAATACCTCATGAATGAATACCTATTTTTTTAAATATATTAATATATTACTGTTCAAAAGTTTAGGGCCAGTTTTTTTTTTAAAGTAATACAATCATTTAGAAAGGATGCGTTAAATTAATAAAAAGCAAATGTCAAGACTTTATTACAAGACATTACTACAACTTTTTAATTTAAAATAAAAACACTTCTTGTGAACTTTCTATTCATCAAATAATCCTGAAAAATTTTTTTATTTTCCACGAAAATATTACGCAGCACAACTGTTTTCAACATTGATAATAATAAGAAATGTTTCTTGAGCATCAATTCAAGATGATTTGTAAAGGATCATGGGACACTGAAGACTGGATTCTGAAAATTTAGCCTAGATTAAAATAGAAAACAGTTGTTTTAAATTGTAAAAATATTTCACAATATTAATGGTTTTACTGTATTTTGATAAATAAATGCAACCTTGGTGAACATAAAAGACTTCTTTCAAAAACGTTAAAAAATCTTACCTACCACAAATATTTGAACAGTAGTGTGTGTATATATATATATATATATATAATTTTGTTTCTGTCTTTTGTTTTACTCTGTAAACATGTATTCCTGTTACATCTGACTTAGTGTATTATGGGATTGCTGACAAGTTGTACTGTAAATCCAAATCAAGTCTAGGCTAAAATGTTCTAAATCCATGCTGGCTATATTCACCTACTCTCCTCTGTGCCAACCCCAGTGTTTGATGGATTAGGAGAACTTCTGATACCAGCCATAACGCCTCAGAGCACAGGCGGGACCCCCATGGCTGCAGCGAGCACGCCGTTGACACCTGGAATTGTGCCCACCACTGGGCCGACAATGGCTCCAGCCATGGCACCAGCAATGGCCCCAACAATGGCACCCACAGCAGCTGCCCAACCAATCAAACCTATTGGAGGAGACTTAGACTTTTCACTCGCCAATTTGGTCGGAAGTACGTATGAAATAATGATGGACAGAGTATGTAGGGGTCATTTTACACACCATCATTGCCGACTCTAACTTATCTCGTTTCTTCCTCTCTTGTAGACTTGGGGGTGGGAAGCCAAAAGAAGTAAGTTCAGTGTCTGTTGCAGTGCATCTCCACTGTAGGTGTTTCCAGACACCTATTAATCTTGTCACTTATTCATAATGTCTATTCACGGACATGAATTACTCAACCTGACCTGTATTGACAATTCATTTGAACTGTTATGGAAGTTTGATTGATTTGCTCTCCCTTGGAGCACAATTTAATCATGTTCACTTTGTGTGGCCCTAGAGCTGTATTTATGAACCGAGAAAAATTATTTACACAAATCATGTTGCCTGACAGCTATTTGTTTTGTACAGGGACAACCAGTGGAATGAGAAGAAGCTGACAGGAGGAGCTAACTGGACCCCTCAGGTCGCCCCTACTAGCTGGGGCACACCTGGCGCTCAGATGGTAGCGCTTGCTTCTTTCTTAAAGGGATAGTTCACCCAAAAATGAAAATTCTGTCATTAATTACTCACCCTCATGTCGTTTCAAACCCCTAAGATATTTTTGATGAAATCCGAGAGCTTTCTGACTCAGCATAGACAGCAACGCAACTGAAACATTTTATGGCCCAGAAACGTAGTTCTGTCATGACAACTCTCGGAGGGATTGGCATGGTAATGTTTATGACAATGTTAATGTATTTGGTCTTGGCGGAATAGATCTGCTACGCTGCTGCTGCGGCGGCAGAGCAAGTACCGAGACTTGCTACTGCCAATACATCCACAACATGCTGCTGTGAGCATGTAAGAAATATTGCTGCTGCAAATATAACATACATGAATTAACCCCCATATAGTGTATATGAATCACCTCGTAGCAGATATATACAGGTGGAGCTGGGGAAGGTGGAGGGTTTCTGAAGCAAGCTGCAACTGCTACTGCAAGCACTAATCATATATTTGAATGTTGAGCAGCAAGCTCATTTGCTACCGATACAGGAGAGAACCAATCAGCTGTGCCATGTGATAATGATGTCATTAGGTCAGATTGAGTTAGACCTATCGGACTGCGCCATCTAGAGTTTCATGCCAGAACTCTGTATTAAGGACACTGTTAAAATAGTCCATGTGACATCAGTCGTTCAACCGTAATGTTATGAAGCTACGAGAATACTTTTTATGCGCAAAGAAAATAAAAGCAACGACTTTATTCAACGATTCATCTCTTCCGGGTCAGTCTCCGCTGTCATTCACGAGAGTACCACAACTCATGAATGTGCCTTCCTCTGCTTGTAAACAAGGCGCAGCAGCATCACACGCATGCGTCGTGGTACTCTCGTGAAGGTCTTATGGGTTTGGAACAACATGAGGGTGAGTAATCAATGACAGAATTTTCATTTTTGGGTGAACTAACCCTTTAAACAATTAAAAATGTTTCAGTCTTTCTACTTCAAAATTTGACATTTAATTCAATGTTACTTGCTGTTTCTTTGTAATAATTTTTTTAATTTACTAGCAATTTCTGAGTGAAATTTGTTTTAATTCTTTATCAGTGTACTTGCCTTTCTTTGTATTTGTGAAATTTACTAGCAATTTCTGAGTGAAAATTGTTTCTACACTATATATTTTTAGTGTATATTTTATTGTGGTCCTGTTGCGATTGTGTTTAGTCTGGCTCTGCCCCTGGAGCCCCCGGAGCTGGCGCCCCACCTGGAGCAATGGCACCACCCATGGGAGCACAGCCTGGCTTTGGCATGGTGAGAAATCACTGTTTAAAATGTTAAAGAGTCTCTGTATTTTGCACTTACAGTATGCACTTACAGATGGATACTTTATTTCTTAATTTTTACTCAGGCTCCAGCAGCAGGAGCTCCCATGATGCCCCAGCCCGTGATGATGGGTCAGCCCATGATGAGACCACCATTTACTGGGCAAGCAGCAACAGGAACACCCGGAGCACCAGTAAATAACAAAATTTTTT